ACAATAAGAAAAGGCTGTTAGGGAAAAGCATACTGAGAACATTAAGCTCTTCTGGCAATTAAAAAAAAAAAAAAGCATGAGTACTGGGGAATCAAAACAACTCAATCCAGGTAATAAAACATTGAAAGAAGTGTATAGGAGTTGATGGATTAGAAAATCAGTTCAAGGAGCCCTCTAAGAATCTGTGAGGAAAAAGGCAAAGTGATAGAATTTATAGGAAAAAAAGAAAAAAAAAGAGGAAGATAATATACAGGAAGTATTTGGCGTTCCAACATCCATATAGCAATAGTAGTAAAAATAAAAACAAGTAGGGAATCAATATATAAAACAGTAGAAGACAAATTTACTGAGCTGAAGACTTGAGTGTTCAGATCAACAATGGTTATGGAGGATTCCTGGAAAAAGAGAAAGATCTATACTCAATACAACTTATCAATGATTTCCAAGAGAAAAAAGTTATATAAGGATCCTTAGTAAATGAAAAACAGATTACTCACAGAGGAAAAATAATTAGAATTACTCATCTGAAACACTAGAGGCTGAAAATTTATGAAAGAATTGTGATTGCAACCTCAGAATTTGACAGCAAGCTAAAAGTTCCTTTATGTGTGACAGCAAAATAAGGACATGCAAATTAAGACACTGAAGATCTCAAAAATAAAAATAAAATAACTAAATTACTTGTTGTTGAGGTATTCCAGCCAAAAGGAAACTCAATCACATTAAATATTTCAAGAAAGGGAAAGACAAAAAAAGAAAGAAGGAAAGATAACCTATAGAAAAAAAAAATTTTGTGAGCAATGAAACCAATTAATGTCTAAGGTTATGAACAATTGTAATGTGATTATGAAGCTTAGTAATTGTTAAAATGGATGTTTAGAATAGAAAAGGCAATAATCTGGAACTACAAGTTCACATTTTTTCAACCAAGTATGAAAGTGGGAAGGGAAAGATGGAAAAAGAAAAGTATGCAAAAGGTTTTATTTTGGCTGGAACAAAAATCATATTTTATTCTTCATAGTGATGGACAAAATAGGTTCTAATGTGTGTACCTATACATGTACATGTACAAATATATGCGGGTGTATATATAGAAACTACTTGTAAGCCAAGTGTAGTGGCACATGCCTGCAATCCCAGCAACTTGGGAGGCTGAGGCAGGAAGATGGCAAGTTCAAGCTCAGCAATTTAGCTAGATAGACCCTGTCTTAAAATTAAAATAAATAAATAGGGCTGGGGATGTAGCTCAGTGGTAAAGCACTCCTGGATTCAATCCCAGTACCACATACACAAAAAAACTTTTGTACACACATTCAGTCAGCCCTCTGTGTCCACAGGTTTCACATCTGTGGATTCAACCAACCACAGATCAAAAGTATTCTTAAAAATTGCATCTGTACTGAACATATACATATACAGACTTTTTTTTTATTATTCCCTAAATAATACAGCATAAAAACTATTTAAATAGCACTCACACTGTACTAGGTATTATAAGTGACCTAGAGGTGATTTAGAGTACATGCAGGAAGTGTGTTTGAGGTGGGGAGCGGTCCTGTGACCAATATCCCTTGAACTACCGAGAACATATTATCATATTCAAAAAAATGAAAGCTTACAAATTCAATAAAAAATTAGTATAAAATGTATAAGAAAACCTGACAAATCACACATATTTTATACAAAATTGATTAACTTTATAGCTAGGCACAGTGGTGCATGCTTGTAATTCCAGCTACATGGTGGGCTGAGGCAGGAGGATTGTTAGTAGGCCAGCCTGGGCAACTAAAAGAGACCCTCTCTCAAGATAAAAATTTAAGAAGATCTGGGGATGTGGTTCTTTGGTAGAGTACTTGCCTAACAAATGCAAGGTCTTAGGTTCCATTCCCAGTACCACACACACAAAAAAATGTATTATATTTATGGATATAGAAAATAGCCTAAACAAATATTATTAAATGGAAACTAGCTGAGAATTAAAATAATAGAACATCATGACCAAGTAGGGTTTTTCCTTCTGGTAATTAAACAATGGGCAACATAAAGAAACACATATTAAATTAATTTTCATAGTAAAAAGTGAAAGGATACCCTTACAGAGTCTTAAAGGACATCTCTTCCTGTGGTAAAAATGAAACAATATTGGGGCTTAGAACCTGTCTCAGTGACAGAACATTTGCCTAGGGAGTGTCAGGCCCTGGGTTTGATCCCAGACCTGCAAAACAACAGTAACAAAAACAAAAGAATAGTAACAACAAAATTCTTGGTAAACCAAGTACAAAAAATAAATTTCTTAATGTGATTTTAAGAAATTACCTAAGGAAGTCAACAATAAACATCATACTTAACAAGAAAATATTAGAAACTTTCTCTTTAAAGATAGGAACAAGATCAAGTTGCCTTTTCTAATCACTATTATGCAATGTTGTTCTGGTGGTTCTGGACAATGAAACAAAGCTATAAAAAGTGGCAACATGTGCAAGTATCCAGAAAATGAAAAGCCCTACCATTTTCAGATTTGTTAACCTAAAAAATCTAAACAAATCAACTGAAAAACTTAACAGAGATAATAAGAGAACTTGATAGATGGCTTAATATGATATTAATTTACATAAATTAAGATTAGTGAGGACTAATCATAATCAGTTATAAATTGTAATGTAAAAAGATCTCATTGTTGAGTATTACAAATTATAAATTCAAGACCTATGCCAATAAAACTATAAAATCCAAAAGAAATAATCAGGGATAAGGCCAATTATCCCCAGATTTAATGCAATTTCAATCGAAATCCCAATGAACATGTTAGTTTTAAAACTGTATAAACTGTAAAAGGAAAATAAGTTTTGAAGAATGGGAAAAAGCAAAAAAAAAAAAGAACAGAGTCAGTCAGATCATTAGCATAGGACAGAGATTTACAAACACACTCATGACTACATAAGCATTTAGTATAAGATTTAAAAGGGGGCTGGGGTTGTGGCTCAGCAGTAGAGGGCTCACCTAGGTGTTGTTACAAGGCCCTGGGTTCAATCCTCAGCACCACATAAAAATGAATAAATAAAACAAAGGCATTGTGTCCAACTACAACTAAAAAAAAAAAAAAAAGATTTAAAAGGGCATTTTAGGGGATGGGGTTGTGGCTCAGTGGTAGAGTACTTACCAGCATGCATGAGGCACTGGGTTCGATCCCCAGCACCACATAAAAAAAATAAAATAAAATAAAAAATAAATAAAATAAAGGGCATTTCAGATCAGGGCACAGTGAGTATCTGATAAATGCAGTGGAGAGAACTGTTTTTCCATTTGGAGCTAGGCTACTACAGGCCTGTAATCCCAGTGGCTCAGGAGACTGAGGCAGGAGGATCGCAAGTTCAGTTGGTCTCAGCAACTCAGCCAGACCCTAAGCAACTTAGCAAGACCCTGTCTCAAAATAAAATATAAAAAGGGCTGGGGTTAGGCATGCCTGGGTTCAATCCCTGATTTAAAAAAAAAATCCATTTGGAGAGAAAAACAAAGCAATAATTCTTATACCATGCACAGAAACAAATTCCATATAAATTAAAGATTGGATTATAAAAACAAAGCCATGAAATTATTATTTATTTATTTGTGTGTGTGTGTGTGTGTGTGTGTGTGTGTGTGTGTGTGGTGCTGGGGCACTGAGGTACACCCCCCAGCACCTAAAATATGAAATTATTGAAACAGAATATAGGAGAACATTTTTAACATTGGCATGGGCGGGGGGGACAACTCTTTCCTGGGATGCATAAAAGCCACTATATCATAAAGAAAGAAATGGACAGATTTGACTACATAATACTAAAGACCTATGTGAAACACTATGCCGCGTGCTAAGTGAAATGACAAAGGTCAATGCTGAGAAAACATATTTGCATTATAATAACTTCTTACACAAATAAAGGGAATAATTCCTCCAAGGTGGGGGACAGGCAAAGGATCTAAATAAACAATCCACAGTGTTGCTTATTTAAGAACTAAAGGGAGGTACCTGAGGAAACCCACAGAGAAACCCAGTAGCTAAAACAGCCATTGGACCTTAACAATCAGCAAAAGAAATGCAAATTAATACTATAAGCTGTTGAGGAAAGAGGAACAGGGAGGGCTCTGCCATAAATTCAGCTTGTAAGGCAGTTTATCAGTAAAGTACAGTCGTTTTCAATATGTCAGAATGAACAAGGAATAACTTCCCTTTGCACATGGATCTCCAAGAACTATACAGTATGTATTAGGAAGAGCCTTATATATCAATCTATTGAATGGTCAAAAGTTCAGTTTTGTATGTTACCTTACTGGCTAAAAGAGAGGGAAACAAGACCTTATAAGACTATCCTATCTATACATATGTTCACAAAGAAACTGCAAAGAAACATTCAAAACTAGTAACAAGGACTACTCACAACCAGAGGGAGGGAGAAGAGGTGGAAATTAGGCAGATAGGAATAGAATGGAGACTGTGTAAATTATTTGTGAACCATATAAATGTATTACCTATTTAAAAATGAAATGAACATCTGCTGTTTAATGACAATAATTATAAGCGGATTTGGGGAATTTTGTTTGGTTTTCTTTTCATATATACTTTCCTAGAGAGCACCGACTAGCCTTAGGATTTGGACTTTTCAGATAGAAACAAATACCTGTGTCTGATCCTAGAAATCCGCCTTACTGAGATTTCCTGTTGGCACTTAGGAAAAAGACCACTATAAGATTTTCTAAAGGGCAGTTTGGTAATATATATCAAAACGTAAAATGTTCACGCTTCTTCGCCCAGCAGTGGCACTTCTAGAAATTACACTATTCATCCACKTGGGGACTTACAGCACAAACTGAGGTTATTGCCACAGAGGCTGCGGGTCCTCGGACCACATTTTAAGCTGTAAAGCCCTAAAAGCTCCTTGTCTGCCTCTGTGTGACTTTTTTCTTCTTTGCTCTCCTCAGCCCCTACCCGTGGGGCCACCCACCCAGGGCTGTACCCTCACCTAGTCAACGCAGGGGTGCGGTGGTTGGGGTTGGAGCAGAAGATGTTGTTGGACTTGCGGGTGCCATCCAGGAATTCACGAGCTGACTGGCTGCGGAGCTCGGCCAGAGGACGCGCCTCATGCTTGAGGAACCACTGGTGCGCCTCAAAGCATTTGGAGCAGAGGAGCTGCTCACACTCGAAGCACCAGAAGTCAGCCGGTTCTCTGCAGCGGGTGCAAGCCGCCTGTGCATCCAGGATCTGCCGGTACACGGACAGGCGCCGCTGTAAGCTCTCGAAGAATATGTTATCCAAAGGCGGGGAGTCATCTTCGACCTGGGGTCGGGGCGCCTGGCAGATGGGGCACTGCAGGCCCGGAGCCTCCAGGCATCCTGAGCACAACGTATGCAGGCAAGGCAGCAGCTTGGGGCACTTGGCTGGTGCCTGGCATCCCTGGCAGTGCAGGAACTGGAACTCCTCTTCCATGGATTGCTGGAGAACCAAAGAAAGGGAGGTGAGGCTAGAAGTCCCAGGAGTCCCCACCCATTGGCCACCAGCCCATTCAATTGGAAGTCAAGAGTAAGAGCTCACATTCCATTCCAGGCAGTCATTTAATGATGCAAAATCCTGGCCTATCAGGCCCCCAATTCCCCCTTTTACTCATGCCTTCTTAATCTCACCATACAATCTACTTTCCCATCAGACAGAGTATTAGGCCCAGGGATATAAAAATGCATAGGATACATCCTTGCCTGCAATGAACTCAGTTGAGATGGTGAATATACTAAACACCAATCTCATTAACACAGTTTGTGAGGAGGCTCAAAAGTTAATCTTAGAACTATCATATGACCCAGCAATTCCACTCCTAGATATATACTTGAAAAAGACCTAAAAACAAAGATTCAAACAGATATTTATACACTAATGTACATAGCAGCATTAGTCACAATATCCAAGAGGAAACAACTCAAGTGTTCATCAATAGATGAATGAATAAACTAAATGTGGTCTACACATACAATAATGGAATATTAGTCAGCCTTAAAAAGGAATGAAATTCTGATACCTGAACCCTGAAGGCATTATGCTAAGTGAAATAAGCCAGACACAAAAGGAGAAATACTGAGAGATTCCACCTACATAAAATATCCAGAATAGTCGAGTTCATAGAGACAAAAAGTAAATTAGAAGTTATCAGCGAACAAAGGAGCTATTGCTTAAATGGTACAGGTTTATGGGGTGATGAAAAAGTTCTGGAAATAGATGGTGGTGATGGTTACACAACATTATTAATGAACTTAATGTCACAGAATTATGCAGTTAGAAATGGTTAATATGGGGGCTGGGGATGTGGCTCAAGCGGTAGCGCGCTCGCCTGGCATGCGTGTGGCCCGGGTTCAATCCTCACCACCACATACAAACAAAGATGTTGTGTCCGCTGAAAACTAAAAAAAAATAAATATTAAAAAAAAAATTCTCTCTCTCTCTTTAAAAAAAAAAATGGTTAATATGGTAACTTTTATGGTAGGTGCAGTTCACCACACACACACACACAAAAAAAAAAGTCCCACAAAAGTGCTCTCAATACAGTACTTGGCACATAAATTTTAACCAGTATTGTTAAGTAATGTTATTCTTAGTTTTAAAATGTTAATAATAAAAGTTACAGCAATATGATGTTATTTGTGCTCTCATGAAGGGGAGCAAAAGGGCCCGGAAAAACATACAACAAGGTGCCAAGTAGTTCCTTTGGGGGTGAAGGTGAGGGTCTCCAGGAGAAGGCTGAGGCAAAACTTGCAGGAGAAGGACTTAACAAACCCACTTGTGGGTCAGAGGTGGCCAGGAAGGGTGTTCTGAAAGAAGGACTGGGAGACTTCCTTAAGAAGAAACCACATGAGCTGGAGCTAGGCCTTGGCCACGGAAACCTCTCCCTTCTGGGTTACAGTTCTTCACTTCTGATCCGGAAACTTGGGTGTTGTGGTTTTGCCGTGCCTGGGGCATGCCTCTAGCTCCAGGTCAGTGCAATAGGGCTACTACCTGTATTCTCCCTAACCTGAGGTCCATCATGTGGGAAAAGGCAAGGCTCCAGGGTAAGTGGAAAGGCCAGTCAGCTGCTACTGACCCTTCCCATTTCCCAAACTGTTCAGTGGAGAACCACAGTCCAAAGCGGTCCCCCCAGCTCATCTTGTTCCCCTTCCTACTCTATCAGGCCCTTTGGCTACCCCAGCCAAGAGGGTCAGGACCCTGATGTCTGGCCTTCGCTCTTAGTATCACTCTTTAAGATACCTGGCCTCGATCTTCATTACTCTTCGCAACTCTCTCACCACAGCAAACCAACAAAGCCTAAACCCCTTCATCCCCAAACCCATTAATACCTCTGCTGGGCTGTGGCTGGGCTGGTGGCCTTCGGAGGGGGACTCCGGGGGAGGCATGGTGGGCGTATGAGGCAGGACAGGGTCCTGCTGGAGGCCAGGAGATCCGGCGGCTGCAGGTTCCTGCTGCATACAGCCCAGCGCAGTTTCGATTCTCCGTTTGGATCCTCCGTTTGGATCTTGGAGGGCGGGAGAAGAAACCCAACTCGTGGCGTCAGTCAGAAGGCGGTCTCCAGAACTGACTCCAAAAGGGAGGTACCGGCCGAGGGCCCGCCTCCGGAGAGGAAGTGAGACAGGGCTGGGGCGGGCCTAGGCGCCGAGAGGCGGGCTGTGCGTTTTGAAGACTGGAGCGGAGCTGGGAGGAGAGCAGGGGAGGCGTGGCTGAGCTCCGATAGAGAAAGCGAGGCTGAGCCTTCCGGCAGAGAGGCTTTGAGTCATTCATACATCTCACCTTGGACCCAGCTTTGTGCCCACCCTAGCTGGTACCTGGAGCCCTGGGATCCGGAGATGAACCACACACGGCCCTTGCTTCAAAGAACCCCAGATCTAGTAGAAGAACCAGCCCCCAAAAGGAGACTGTCGCGTAGTATGGGAACTGGCTGGAAAGGAGATTACTCATTTGGGATTTTAGCAAGCAGCGGGAATTCAACAAAGATGAAGGGACTGGGCGGGGCGGGCGGGGCTGGAGACGGGTGGGGAACACTAAACAACAGCTGGGCAAAAGGTATGGAGGTTTGAAACAAGAGAGCCTGTTGGCAAGGTAGTTTGGGCCACTTTCAGATTTAAGAGGGAACTCAAGAGGAGTATACTAAGGAGACTGGACCAGTTTTGTAAGTGAAGGAAGTTTGTGAAGGGTTTGGAACCCAGGAATCACCATCAGCAGTGTGTGTTAGGACAGTCTCTCTGACAACCTAGTTGGACCATCCTAGGAGAGGGGTGTTATGCTCGAATTCGGGACCCTCAAAAGACCACCAGAGACCCAAGATCGATGTAAGCAGCAAAGAGGTGTTTATTGCGAGCTCGGTCCTCCGCACACACAGCAACTGGTGACRCTTTGAGGCCCCGTGCCCAGGGTTTGCAGCAGTTTTATACATTCTTTGGAGAAGGCAGGGACCCCCACATACATCATAGCATCTTTTAGCAAATCATCACACACACGGGAAAATCAAACAACAACTCTAAAACATGATTAGCACATTCACTGGCAGGAACAAGTTGGGTAGGGGTGATTGGTTAGTACAAGAGGGGGATTCGTTTGAACTGATTGGTTTAAGCCAAGAGGGGTGTTCATGCTGAACTACATGATTTCCCAACACAATAAACTACTGGGAGGGTCATCTGGCATCCCAGGTATTTCCCTGTCTCATGCTGATTGGTGGCTGCTAGTGTTACCGCTGTTGACCGGTGATGAGTCCTTGCTTCCCCAATGTTGAAGAATAACACCAAAGAAGCACGACGAGGCAAGGTCAGAGTAGAAATTAGAAGTTTATTAAAGGACAGCAGAAAAGACTTCTCCCGGAGGAAGGGGACCCAAGAGGTGGAATCCGTGGAAGTGCGGTTGTCTCCCCTTTTATAGTTTTGGTGATGGAATRTAGGTGGGAAGGCCCGWGGGGTGGGACACAGGTGGGCCAAACAAGTAATCTGGGCAGGAAGGACTTAATTATCACTTTTTGGGATGGGCTTATCACTTCTCTGGGATGGGCTATCTCCAAATCTGTTGGGGCTGTTTTGGAAGGTAACCTGCTCCCAGCCTGCCCCAACATCCTGTTGGAAGTTAACACTTTTCAGAATAAATTTGCTATTTACATTTGGGTTAATGTAAATTAGAGAGGCAAGTTCCTTTGGTGACTGGATCAAGGGCTGTGCTGTGATGCTCTGGTGACTCTGTTCTGTTAGCTTTAGTCCATCCTTTCCTTCTACTCTGCACCCTGTGTCTGCACATGAAATTGTTCTTTTGGTGCCAAAGTTCAGCCCTTCCCGCTCCACTCTGTCCATAGTGACCTGGCTACACCWTCATTCAACAGTATGTACTGAGATCTGTTCTGGGACAGGCCCTGCTTGCTGAGCTGTGGGGACAGAGAGCAATTATTTTGTGATGTATGTTCTAGAGAAACCCTAAGTCTATTAAGACCTCGCTCCCTGCGTGAGTTTGGACAGAGAGTGTTGAGAAGGCTGAAAACAGCATTTCCTTTGTTCTGGAGATTTGGCTCCTGAATGTCCTCTTGTGAAGCCCAACTTCCCTCCTCCATTTCTAAGTTCAGGTAAGATCTGGGAGGAGGTGGCAACGACCCCGCGGGCTGCCAAGAAATCAGGCCACGCCCCGACGCCTGCCGCCGCAGTTCGGTCCTCCCAGCGCAGGGGTCGCCATGCTACAGCGGGCGCGGATCCGGGTCGGCCTCCTGCTCCTGTGCCCAGCCGCCGCCCTTGGCGACGCCGGGGAAGCCGGAAGCGGCGGCCGGCAGAGGTGGTGGCCGCGCAGAGGCGCGGGGGTGTGTCCCCGTCAGGAATCATGCTCGGCAGGTCCGGGTACCGGGCGCTGCCCTTGGGGGATTTTGACCGCTTCCAGCAGTCGAGCTTCGGCTTTCTGGGCTCGCAGAAGGGCTGCTTGTCCCCAGAGCGGGGCTGCGTGGGGCCGGGGTCCGGTGAGTGGTCGCCCAGCACTGCGAACCCGGGAGAGGGGAAGACTGGCCAGTACCCACAGGCCGGAACCCTCTGCCCCTAAGGAGTCGGCCGGCCTCGCACCCTCAGAGGAGGGACCGAGAAGGGGAACGACTTGCAAAGTGGAGAGGGRGCTGGGCCCGGCGCTGGTGTGTTTCTGCTGATCTGCTCTCCCTAGATGCCTGGCACTGCAGCCTCAGAGCCAGCGTAGCTTCCATCTTCCCGAAATTAACCGCATGACATTTCTCCTCGGCTTTTATCAGGACATAGGTTTCAAGTTCCGATTATGCATAGGTCATMAGCACCCTACAGGCGCCTGTGGAGAAATGGAAGAATATTCACCCCAGGGTAGAAACCCAGGGACCTGCCATCTCCTTTGTAGCTGGAGAAGATACACAGAACAAAAAGGCAGGCCTTCAGCAATCCATTGTCTGTCCTCGCCCTGTCTTGCTCCAAAGCTCTCTGTGGTTCCTTTGGCCACAGGCCAGATCCCATACTTCTCAGCCTGACCTTGGAGGTTTGGTGCCTCCCTGACCCTTCTGTACTGACAGCTGCTCCTGTCCAAGGATTTCTTTCCTGCAGAGGTCACAGTGGGTCAGAGTGGGTCAGGCAGGAAGTAGAAACTTGGTGTCCTGGGGCTTGGGAAACCCAGCAGACATGAGCTTCATGAAAGATGGAACCAAGGTTCCTTTCTGCTTCCTGTCCAGGATTGGAAGAAGAGGAACAGAGAATAAGCTCATCCCAGATTCTAGGGCTTTCTCTGTCATCCTGGACACCTGGTTCTCTCTTTAGTTTGGATGTGCCTTATCTTCCTACCTGCCCCCTCCACACCCCAACCACCACCACCACCATCAAACTGCTTGAATTGAAATATGCATTTTTGATGGTTCTTAGGGCATTAAAATGGAGTGAAGAGTAGAAAAGAAAATTTTATCCCCCATCTCAGGCTCCTATTAATGAGAAATTAGTGCTGTATCCCTWTCCCTATAGGCTAAGGCATTGTTTCCATAAGAATCCCTTGAAAGCGGTCTTCTGGGGCATTTGGTAGAGGAGGAATGTGTTATGCCRACAGCATTCAGCTCAAGCCAGCACACATTTAAAGATGCCCAGGTACTCCTGGCTCCATGAGAGGCATGAGTAGGCAGTATAAATTAGACAAGGGATTGATTCCTGCTCAGTACAGTAAGGACAGCATTGGATTCTCAGGTTCAGAGACTTGCCTAGCAAAGAATACTGTGAGGGTTGTACTTGGGATAGATTAGTTTTGATATATGGGAGGAGGGAATGAGCATATGTCCAAAGATATGATTGAGAACTGTGAGAAAGGTAAAGTGGGCAAAGGGTACACCTGACCAAACTCCTTGTACACAGCTGTCCTGCCAGGCCATCTGGTGTTCCTTGATTGCCTGTTCTCTCTTGCCCCCAGATATACCCCAAAGCTGGCCCTCCTGCCTCTGCCATGGCCTCATCAGTTTCTTGGGGTTCTTGCTGCTGATGATCACTTTCCCCATTTCTGGCTGGTTTGCCCTGAAGGTAAGACTGGCTGGGTCAGTCCTAGAGTGGTTGGTTGGGTCATATTGAAGTTTTGGGGCATTGATGAATGAATTCTCCATATTCTGTTATCACAACTCTATGAAAGGGGCAAGGCAAGAATTTTCTTTCCATCTTTAATATGAGAAAACTGAGGCCCAGWCTTGTCATCATGGGAATCAGTAAGGAGTAGAACCATTATGAAGTCTTCCCAAATTTCTGAGTCCTGGGATCTGGACAGATATCTTGGGCAGATCATCCTTCCTTTGGGCTAGGTCAAATTAGAAATAAAACACCCAACCTGGCCCAGCAGGCAATGAGGAAGCCAGGCCTCATTTTCAACAAGTGGTGGTATAGATGGAAAAAGGATAAGTAATAGATCTGTACCTGCAAGCTGTGGTGAAGGTGGAAGCCCTGTCAGGCCCTCCTCTTTGTGTGGCCCAAGACAATAGTCACCTTTTCTAGAAAGACTCTAGGTTTGTGTGATCTGAAAGGGAGTTCTTTGATGATCCTAGATCCTAGTTCTGAAATGCCACTGAAATAAATACTGTGTGGCCTTGGACAAATTACTGTGTATTTCTGGGTCTTCAATTCTCAATTTCTTCAACATCTTTAGGATTCTTTGCCAACCTGAAGTTGGCAAAGCCTTTTGTTTGCTGTTACAACAGCTCAGCCTTTCCCCCAGCTAATCCAAGGGCAGACAGTTTCCTGATATGAGTCATGTCTAGCTTTAGACAACAAAGGTRAAGTTTCCCTAAAAAGTTAGGGGCTGGTAGCGTGTTTGCCTGGCATGCGGGAGGCACTAAGTTCAATCCTCAGCACCACATAAAAATAAATAAAGATATTGTGTCTATATACAACTAAAAACTACTTTTAAAAAAATCAAGTTAGTACAGTGTGGTGATTAAGACATATGACCTTTGGAGTCATTCAGAACTGCATTCAAATAGTGCCTATTTCACTCAGGTGCTATGTGATTTCTGAGTACCTCTCTGAGCCTGACCTCTC